TTAATGACAAAATTTTCTACGAAATTTAATTAATAAGAAGCTTTATAATATGTTGATGTCGCATAAACTTAAGAACCTATTTCTGTCAAAGGATTGAAGAAATAATTAGCTATTAGAGCAGAAATAAATTTACTTTTAATGTGGTTTTATGTGAGCTTTTAAAGAATTACAGCTTCTCAGTACTTTGTATATTTATACTCAGAACTTAATATTTACTCTTATGTTGAAAATAGATATGAATAACAAACACTATTTATCAATAGATCAGCAAATAATAAAAGATTATATCCCATTAAAAATTAATTATAGTTTAATAAATATCAAAGAATAAAGTATTTGTTGCTATTTTAAGCACGATGAAGTAATTTTTTCCCCTTTAAGTATAAGTAAAACTTATTTCATTAAAGACTTTAGATAAAGACTTAATTAGAATATCTTTGGAGTATATTTATTTTACGAAAAAATCGAACCATTTATTAACAACTTGTAGATCAAATACAAACTTTAATATCTCAACTCTATTTACTGTGCTTGCTTCATAAGTTGATTTAATAAATCAAACATATTTCCTAAAATATATTTTTTTCTTTTCAAATGCTTAAATAATTAGATAATAGTACTTAGATTTTTTTTTTGCATTTAACTATTTTTTAAAGCTACAAAGCGAATTTTTAACAAGCATTTTTCGATAATCGTGATTAATTTGCGATTACTAAAAGACTCCAGAAATTTCAAACAACTTTCAATCAAATTCAAATTCGAAAAAAACAAACAAACTTGTGTTTAGTTTATGATTGAAAATTACCCGTTCAGCACGTCAAATGTCATATCTGTAGATGTATTTCTGTGATCGGAATTTGTGTATTTCTGTATCTCTGTGATCGGAATTTTGCTTTTATTCAAGTTTAAAAGTTGACAATCTTTAAACCAATAATCCACTCGGATTATTTTTTTAATTATTTCATCGAATTTAAGTCTTACAAATTTATGGCAGAAAAACTAAATGTTACGTAGAGAATAAAAAGTGAAAAGAATTTCGAAGCGCTTAAAATTGCAATTACCTTCGAAAAATTGGAATTCCAAATAAAGGCTTAAGCTACGTTCATAAATACACATGGTCTTAAAAGCATGTCTAATTTCAACTGGGTGATCTATGGAGTGGTTTGTAGAGTAGCTAAAATGATGTTTCCTTCAAGTTTAACCAATTTTCAAAATGTTAATTTCTTTATTTCATTGTACTTTGTGTTTTCAACAAACCTTCCTAATTTATGGTTTATAAGTCTTTTAATTTTTCATGCAATGAAACAAATGTTGAGTTGAACAACCAAAACATCAGCGAGAGTTCTTACAATTTTTTAATAGAGAGACTGAACAGGAAAGTACATTTAGTCGTTATGCATATTGATAAAAAAAGCTGTAAAATCAAAGATATTGTGAAAAAAAGAAACAAAAGTAAAATAGAATGAAGAAGAAAAGGAAAAACTCTCTGAGTGAAAATATTAATCTTTTTTGCACTTAACTGGATTTTAAATAATCCGTATCTATAAAAGAATATCCATGTTGTTCAATTTATAGTTTGACTTATACTTTCTACGTATGCAATACCAGCATAAAGTTTGTAAAAGTGAGTAAGTAAATTAAGGTTCTTACATTTGTGAATAACGAAAAAAAATTTCTGAGAAAAATAAAATTTTAAACCTTTTGCATACAAATTACAAAATATTCTTATGTATGTAGATAAGTGTTAAAAAAATAACATTAAATGTTGTTTTGTAACATTTGCAGAATCATATTTCTGAAGATTCTAAGGTATTTTCTTTGAATTTCAGGAAAAGTACATAGTGAAATGTACTTATATGTAATATTCTATAGAGGTGAATTATAAAACTAATTCAAAGTAAATTTATTTCCGATGTTATCAAAAATAAAAATAAAAACATATAAACTTATTGCTTAAAACATATAAACTTATTGAAAAAAAAAACATTTCATGTATAACCATTTCAAAAATATGAAATTCACCATTTTTTTGTTTTTTTTTTTTGTAAAGTTGTGGCAAATACACAATTTGCAAGCAATCTATGCTGGAACATTTAAACTTTAATTTAGAGAAAAATTGTTTAGTTATTTAAAATAAATAGCCTGCGGTGTTAATAAAATTAGTCAAAAAATTCCTGGTGGCAGAGATGCAAGCATATTTGCATGGTTATGAAAATGTGTTTTTCACAAGTAACGTAAATGAAAGTATGAAAAATGAAGCTAAAAAAGACATCCACTGACATTTTTAAACTTATTATTATTATGATATTGATGTTTTGAACGTAACATTTTTAAACACAGAAAACAATTCTGGTGAATTTTCCGTAATGGAAGGTAAAAACATTTTTGGTAAAAGAAATCATATTTGTTGTTATAAAACCAAAATATACGGTTTTTAAACCATTAATTTTTCAGTTTTTTTTGTTCATATTATAACAGTTTATCAGAAATCCTAGTTTTAAAAATTATAGTTCTTATCACCACACATTTGGTAAAAATACTAAACTTAATAAAATAAAATTTAAGTCATGCTTTAAGGTATGATGATAAAATTATCAACTTTTTTCACATTTACTAAATTTGAACGCATATTATAATTTTTTTATTGTAATTTTACCATTATCGTTACCAAAGCTTTTTGGTAAAAATTATCGTTCTTTTTGGTGTTCTTATAGAGTCAGAAGTACGGTAAATTTAACAATATTTTTTTTAAGTCTGACTAAATTTTTTTTTCTCAACAGCAGCAACAGCTTAAATAGTATGAGTTTTGTAAAACATGCTTCAGACAACGACAAATATTATTCTAAAACTTCCCCTTTGATTCTTTCAAAGAATTTCTTCTAAAATTTGTTTTTTAGGAGATATAATGATAACGTCAAAAATTAAAACATTTAACTTTTATATAAAGTAATCCATTCATCACTAATTGTTTCATTGCATTTAACTAAGTTCATATTTTTAATAGTTTAGCACAATATATTGGAATAATGCATTAAATAAATTGTATTTTGTTAAAGTAAATTGATTCTTGTAAAAATGGTGCTCAGCTTTCAATGTCACCCTCTTATTCACAAATCAAATCCAAAACTTCCCTTCCCCATCCAATTCATATACATGATACCTAAATTAGCTTAATTGACTCCATTAATAGCAAATTGCTAAAGGCTTTTCTTATCTATGGCTATAATGCGCTTTATATCTGTACAGTATTTCTTTCACTTAACACAAGATTCGCATTTATAAATCTAATGGGATTTTGGATGAGTAATTTAACGATTGATGGAAACAAAATCCAATTTAAAAAAATTCATGTTCTAAGCCCTTTAAAATGGAATTCGGAAGGTGAACTAGGGTTATCAAATTACCTGATAAATTGCCCCTTGCGTAATTCCGGCATACGTCGTAAATAAGTGAATTCATGCATAGATTTTTTTTTAAATGAAGTCTTAAAGGTGAAAAAAAATGTAGTTCTTCTCTAAACAAATGAGTAAAATTTTTTCTGTTAGATTGCAATTTAAAAAAAAATTAAAATTTATTTATGCATTCTGGAAGAAAAAGAAAATAATAGTAAACTCTCAATCCGCCCTCATTTCTTCACGGTAAAAATTGTGGTGTAATATGCCTAATAATATAATTTTAGCCAAATTAAAGAAAAACTGAAGGAACATTTTAATTCAGATTAAAAAATAAATCGAGATTCATATACAATTTAAAGGGTTAAATTTAAATAAAAACACTTATAATGTTTTTATTTAACACTTATAACACTTATAACTCATTCGCATCAAACGAGAATTATTCTCTCTCACAAAAGCACTGATGTCGCTGAGCTTTGATATTATTTGTAGATTGTTTACATATGAATACAAGTTAGAGTGAGTTAGTGGAAGTCTTCGACGTTACAATACATCGAAAACAAAAGGTTACCTTTAAAATGCCAGGAGTTCACTTGTCTTCTGGATTGGGTTCAAAATAACAGGGCTACGGATTTGAACATTAGAAGTCGTATACCCGAACGACGGTTAAATAAAAAAATAAAAAATGAGATTAATAATATTTTAATTTCTAAAACTCTATGAACCGTATTTAGTAATTCTATCATGTATTATTTTTTTAAAATTTTTTTCGTTCTGGTAAGCTTATTTTGGATTCATCTTTCCTTCTCTTTGTGTGCTATACGTATGCTTAATTTACTAGCTAATTTATTTTTTAAGAATTAATGTATACATGCATTCTAAGTTAAGGATTCTTATTTTATATATTCTATATCACCAATATAACTTTACAGACTCTTAAGAAAATCTTACCTTAATGTAATTATAAATTGCTATTGAATACGGAAGAAGGTAGCGGCTTCTTTACAAGAGTAAAAGAACATTCTTAGAGTAATGGAACACTTAGTGGTGCACTACTTTGGTGTAATGTATGATTTAAAATACACGAAAATATTTTACAGAGTTGAAACAGTACTCATTTTCAATTTTGAGTTTAACATAGTTTGAATCGGTAGTCACGTAATTGTAAAAGCCCATGATTAACCTACATTGAGGACGGTTTTTTAGGTCTCTATATTAAAATTTTTGTTGGGTCGTAATAAAAATATTACGTAAAAAAAGGCAACATACGAGCCAATTTTGAGATGTTCGTGTGTGTCTTTTGAAATAAGTTTTTCAAAATCACCTTTTTTAATAATGTAGAAAGTAGGATTTGAATCAACATAAAATTTAAATATTAGGAATTAATCAATGATTTTATCACTAACATTGAATAATTTAGCGTTATATTCAGTTTTAACATTTTATTAGTTACATTCGGCAAATTTATCTTAAAAACACTGAGTCAATTTACATAATTTACAATTAAAATCATTTTCCTTATATCTGTATACGTTTTTATGCCTGTAGAAACATACTCATGTGTGTGCGTGTTTTTAAGAGATCAAAATTGTTATGAAGACTTACTTTGTCACCGATGCCTGCTGCTTCTATTGTCAAACCAGTTAATTCACGAAGATGAGAAGAATGCTCTTCTACAAATGAAAAATAAAATTTTTTAATATTTGATAAATATTTATTCCTATTTGCAATATCATAATCTTATAATATTAATAAAAATCATGCAATGCAAAAAAATCATTAAAAATACTGATATAATACCAAGCTAAATTACGTAAGTTCTATTCTAAATACATATAAAAGAACTTTCGAAAGTTACGAAAAAAAAAATTTTTTTTTGAAGAAAAATCATTTTAAAGTTGAAATTTCTTTTATATATTTCAATGTATTACTGTTAATATTATAATCTTATAATATTAATAAAAATTATACATTGCAAAAAATCAATAAAAATACTGATATAAAAGCAAGCAAAATTACTTGAGTTCTATTTTAAATACATTCGTATTTTTTAAACAAAGTTACGAAAAACACCGTTTTTTTTTTTTTTTTTAAAGAGAAATCATTTTAAAGTTGAAATTTCTTTTATACATTTCAATATATTACTGTTAATATCATAATCTTATAATATTAATAAAAATCATACAATGCAAAAAAAAAATTTAAAAAAAAAAAATCATTAAAAAGTACTGATATAAGCAAGCTAAATTTCGTAAGTTCTTCTTTAAATACATATAAACGAGCTCTTTTTTTTTTTTTTTTTTAAACAAAGTTACGAAAAACATCGTTTTTTTTTGTTGTTTTTCTTGCAGAGAAATAATTTTAAAGGTGAAATTTCTTTTATCTATAGTTCAATGTATTGCTGTTTATTTTATAAGTAAACAGCCACTGAATTAATGCGGTGAGTTGAGTCTTCGCCAATACTGGTTTCAGCCGAGATTTAATTCTTCACATTAAGAGATGCCAGTCTGATCGGGTTGTTCTTGCTCTAACTATGTTTTAATGATTGGTATTTCCCAAAACTTATTGTTACCGTGATTTCAAGGCTAGAAGGCTGAGCCTTGCAAAAGAGGGGAAATTATTTACAGAGTCAGTCTCTCTTTATTTCTGTAAATATATCTTGAATATTTTTCCTGCCTTTTTTACAGATATTTTCTTATTAAAATTCTCTCTTATTTTACATAAGACTCCTAATAAAGTTTCTTTTATTATCAAATAAGATAGAAATCACTAAATTACTTATCAATTATTCCAATATCAGTGAAAAACAAACTCCTGACAATGGGGAATTATGTGTCGCCAGTGGGTATCATACAACAAATTACTTGCCTGAAAAGTGAGTTTTATTTCCTCGTAACTATCGCAAGGTATTAAATAAATGATCCCAAGAAACTGAAGCTGTAATATATTACTTGGTTAAAAACTTCATTCGCTTCAAAAATATACGAATTGGAAGTAATAGTCGACATGTTTCAAGCGCTCAAAGATCGTTCAATACTCAATCGCTCAACGCTCGTTTTAGATTTCATATCAATTTTGCTTCTTTTCATTTACGTCTGATAAGTTTAAAAATGGGCACCTGTTTTTGAGTCCTTGAATATATATATATATATATATATACAGTCGAACTCGTTTATAACGAACACAAAGGGACCGTAACATGTACTCGTTAAATCCGAGTGCTCGTAATAAACGGGTCCTTAAGGCAGACGTGCAACCAGAAGAGCTTGGGAGGTCAAATTATTGAGTTGACTTAAAATTTAATTTTTACTTACTTACTTTAAATACATTAATTAATTTAATTAAATATTTATCTTAATTTAGTGACAACTAACCCCCCCCCCCAAACCAGCAAAAAATTTCTAGTTGCGCTACAGTCTTAAAG